TAAAAAAGTAAATCAGAGCTAAAAAAGTGCAAAAACGCAGGCAAATTTGCCTGTGTTGGTCTACATATTAAGGGATATAAAGATGCAAAAGTAGATGATATTGAAAATTTCCTCTTCAATTACAAAGGCTATACAAGAGTGAAAAAGTATGATGAAGAAATAACTTGTTTTAGAGTATATATGCATATGTCGGAAAGTATGAGAATATGGACAAGAAAGTTAGTACAAATGGAAAAATGTGGGCTTCATTAAAAACAAAGATTAGTGAAAAAAACAAAGCTAAAAATGAACAAGAGATAATGATCCTTTGGTTAAAACGTTTAAAGCAAAAAGAAAAAAAATCAGTAAAAGAATATACAAATAGATATGAAGCTCATACTGAATCTGTGAATACAAAACTGAGATCGGATAAAAAATACGATTAATATATTAAAGGTTTTAGGGAACCTTTTCATTCAAAAGTGGAAAACTGTTGCTCTAAAGACTATAATAAAGCTAAAAAAAAAGTATTGGGGATGGATAAATATAAAAGAAAAAGGAATCAAAATCATAATGAAAATAAAGTTAAATAACTAGTGACTTCTAGCAAAACCAATATTAACATCGACAGTCTTGTAAATAAACTTGCAGTATTGAAGATCAACTGCATTGAATGAGAAGATTAATCAAGTTGAAGTAATGTAGAAAGTCTCATACAAAATATAGTTACAAAAACAATTAAGAATATGAATAGAAGGCCAGGGCAATCATGTAACTCAAAACCTCATACTTGTTATTTGTGCAATAAAAAAGGACATATCATAAAAAATTGTTCAAATCAAAGCAAAAACAATAATCGAAATGATAAAAGTACAAAGTTCAAAAATGTAGATATATATATAGTAGAGTTTATAGAAGTTGACTTTGAATCGGCCAATAAATATTTAAAGGTAGAACTATTAAATGATGATGAATATTATAACATTAGATCTGTTGCCAAACAAAAGAGAAGTAATGAAACACTTGAACTCTTGGAACAATCAAGTAAAAAGAGAAAGATTAATGAATTAGTTGTTGAAAAAGAATCACCAAACCGAACTGATAATATAATGTATATACTGTTTACTAAATTGTCAAATAAACTTAAGATACTCAAGAAAATTGCTAGTATGAAAATAACCATTAATCTTGGACAATTGTTCAAGTGGTCCCCGAAAGCCCAAGTTGAAGTAATAAAAGCATTATCTTGATAAAGAAAAAGAAATGAAGTCAATAACATAAATGCGAAAATTAGAGTTGTATATAGTGTTCTACAAACAACTAAATCAAGTTTGGGAGAAGTCATACTAGCGTGGACTACTAAAGTAAATAGTAATACAGTAAAAGCCCCAATTGATCCAGGGTTCCGAATTAACTTAATATTGAAGAAATATGCTAAGAGAAGAGGATTGGCCTGAAATCAAGTTGGTGGTAAAGGGAAAATGGCTGACAATAGAATTAGTTAATTTATTAGATACATACCAAATATTGAAGTGGAAATGGAAGGTGTGGCCGTAAAACAAGGGTTTTATATTATAGAAACTGCTAGTTTTGATGTACTACTCGGCATGCTATGGATTGCCAGAAGTCAATGTAACCTTGAATAGAAAGGTAATAAGTACTGGTATATCATTTCTTCCTTAACCAGATTAGTATCTTTTGTAGTATCGGCAGTACCAAAAAACTAGATTGCTAAAACTCAAGACTATAAAAGATATAAAGATAGCAATGATGAAAGTAATTATGAAGAAATTGATAATGTAATAGCAATAAGACGAATTGAAGTAAATAAATTAGAAATTAGCAATAATAAGCAAAGCATTTTGTTTAATACAAGAAATAAGGACAATGTGATAATAAGAAACATTGAATCAATCAATTGTAAAAATTTAAAAGAATTATCCTTTCATGAAAAGTAAAATATTGGAATATTACAAATGAAAATAATATGGGTCAATTGTTAGAAATAATATAATGATTGTATCATGACTAACTAAAGAAAACAGTACTCTTAGAACAAAACTCTTTTCGCTAATCCTCTGCACTAAAATTAAAAAATTAAAAAACAATAAGTTTCTCAAAATCTGACTAACAAACTGCCTAAACCTCTCTAAGAGAAAAGAAGCCTACATATAGAACAAAGAAACTTCTTTAGAAGCAAATATTATATTTAACTAGCAAATTCTTGAGCAGTTTGGAATTTTAGAAAAATTTTACAACTTTCAGCACAAAAAGTGGGAATTAGGTAAAACCCTGACAAACAGATCATTGATTGTCACACCAAAACAACAAACAACAATGCATGTTCCTTTTAGTACAAGTAAACAAATAAAGACACAGGTAAACAAACAAAAAAAGCAAACAAACAAACAATATAGATAAAACACGTGTTAAATCATAATGAAGTCAAGGCAAAAATGACTAGAGTAGTAGATTTAAAGAACTTCTATAGCAATACAGAGAAACTAATAGAAAGTATGTACAGAGAACAAAAGCTTCTAACCCTTAAAATAGATAGGGATATAGCAAAATTTATGGGGGCAAACCATCCAGAACAAATCAGTATAATCTATGGTTTAATAGATAGCTATAATTGGGTCCAAGCTAAAAGACGTAATGGACAAGAAGTATCAGAAATAGAATTACAGCTTATAGATGAAAATATAGCAAATTATACTACTAGTCACAAAGTACTTTAAACTGCAAAAATAAATATAGATACAAAGTCTCCGGTTTCAATATTAGGAAAAAGAGAATACAATGAAAACATGCAGAGTAGCTCCATTACAAAAAAGAAAGAAACAAAGTATATAAGAAATGCTGAATTGAACTTTAATGAATCTGATAGAGAATTATTAAGTCAGTACTACAATGAAAAAGAGAATCAAAAATTTTCATTAATTTTTTCAGAGAGTGGAACACCAGATCATGGTACAGAGGATACAGCATGATTAATTTCGTTAGCAAAAAGTTTCAATAGTATGCACATAAAAACAAAACAAGACATAAATAATATTGAAGAGCAAGAGATAAAAAGACAAAATACAGTTAAAGTAGAGCATCCTGAAGAGATAAAGGAATTAAATAAGAAAAATGATATATATAGTTCAATGTGGTCTTTAATATATAAACCACCACAAAACAAGCACTCAGCAAACAAGAATGAATACTATGAAAGAAAGAGAAAACTAGAAGTATACTCTATAATTTGGAACCTCCTATTTGGGGTAAATGCAGCAAGAATCAAAAGATGTCTCAACCAATATGGCAGAGTAGAAATAATAGAATAGTGCATTTTAAAAAAGGCAATAGTGATATATGTAAAAATTACATATAGAAGTAGAAGCAAAAGCAAAATTTGCAGAATGCATAGGCAATCTATTTTGAAGAGGAAAAAACAAGCAGATTTACTATAAGCAGATTCGATGCTAAAGAGTTAAGAACAAGAAAAGAATACAGATTAATGCTAGGAAATATTCTCAATTTGGTGCCTGAATCAGTATTACTTTAACAACTAAAAAGGTTTAAAGCAAAGATAATATACAAGCTCAAGAATAGAAACAATAATCCAAGTGGAAATCCATTAGTCTACTTTGCTTTATTAGAGGACCTTAAAACAGCAAAAGTATCAACACTATACTATTTTTATAATAGACTAGAGTGGAGTGAAAATGAACGATATGAGCTAGCAAAAAGCACTTTTGTTAAAGAAAACCATAATATAGCAAAAGTAGAACATAAAAATGAAAATATTAACTTTGTACACCCAAGACAGCAGGGAGAAAGGAGCAGACAAAATCTTAAAAGAAGAAGATCACCTAGCAACAACAGTGTACAAAGAAGAAGTATTACCAAATCTCGAAATAGTACAAAAAAGCAACTCAGAGAAATAGAAAACAATAGCGTGAGCAAACAGGAACACTATTCAAATAAAGTATCAACTAGTGCAAATAGTATAGTAATAAATAAAAGTAAAAAAAGATATTTTGAAATAAATAGAGAAGAGGAACTGGAAAAAATGTTAGTAGAGATAAGAGAAAAATTTAGAGCAATAGAGGACCTATTTACCTAACACTTCTAAAAGGTGCCCCAGTTGTACCAAAGATTTTGGGAAAGGCAGAACATCCTATAGCTATTTGCCAAGAACCCAATAGATTAGAACAAAGTGGAAACCCAGTAGAGAATAAAAGCTTTGAGTCACTTAAGATAGGATTTCACAATATAAATAGGCTAAAGTTAAACAAACAAAAACTACTAGCACTAGCAAAAATAAACAAAAAGAAAGATTAGATATAATAGGGTTGGCAGACAAATATAGATGGTAAAGAAGGAAAGTGAATAAGTACATTATAACAAGAATTTTATAGTTTTTGGTCACCTAAAGAAGAAGACAAAAGTAAAGAGTCAGAAGTTGGGGTGCTAGTAAATGAAAAGTGGTCAAAGCATGTAGGCAAAGTAGCCAAAATCAGCCCATATGCATTTAAAATAGAGTTCTTTTTCAAGAAGTCAGTAATACAAGTCTGGGTATTATACTTACCACTAGCAGATAAAAAGGTTAATAGAGAAATTCATTAGAGAAATCTACAGTAATAAGATAAATACGTATACTTGCATAATAGGCAATTTTAATGTAGTAGGTGATACAAACTTAGATACAAATAATGCCAATTGTAAAAATTAGGGCTTTAGTAAAACATTAATAGAGTGGCTTAGAAATAGGGATTTTATAGATACTTTTCGATATCTAAATCCACATAGCAAGGAGTATATCTAGCAAAGAGAAAACTCTTTATCAAGAATAACACTTGTCGAAACCAAAATTGATAATGTGAAAATAGTCACCGGTAGTGACTATAAGCTAGTCTGGGTGAAAATAGAAACTAGCAATTTTTTTATATATAGCAACCTGCATAGGAAAAAAAGAAAAAGACTAACAAGAAGAATCTTTCTGTATCACAAAGCCACAAAGAAAGATTGGGATGTATATAGTAAGTGTGTAGAGCATGTATTACATAGTAAAAAAACACATAACATTGATGAAAACTCACAAAGCAGAGAAAGCAACATAAATAAGGAATGGAACATTATAAGTAATGCAATTTTACAAGCAGCATACAAGTACATACTATGAGTTAATACAAAAAAAACAGAGATATAGGAGAAAAAAGCCATTTCAAAGTACAAGAGTTACAAAGAAATTAAATTTTTGTATCAACTGCAAAAAATAAAACAAGCTCATATAGGGAAAAAAATAAGTACTTTTGATCAACTCAAGCTCAACTTGCAAATAGAAGAGATAAACCAAAGATATCAAATACAAATCTCACAACTTCCAGAAGCTTGGAGTCAGGTAGAGAAGAACGAGCTTAAAAATTAGGGCAAAGTTCTAAAAAAAAAAGCAAAAGAAGAAGACTGACAATCTAAAGTCAAAGAAATTCAGTATAGAATCGAACAGAGATTTAGTATAATAAGCAAAGACAGAAAGAAAATGTTGCAATATCTGCTAAATAAACTCTATAGCAAAGTAATATTAGATAGAGTGTTTAAAGAGAAAACCGCATATTATCAGAACCAAAAGCTTGTAAGTGATGATTATGAAGTAAAACAACAAGTAAATGGTTATTTTCAGAAGCAGTTTAGAAAGAGATCACAAAAATTTGAAAAAATTAGCCAGAAGTGGCAAAAGGAATATAAACCAAAAGAATAGGCAAAAACAAGCTAGTATGAGGATATAATGAGCCCAATAGGTTTAGAAGAGTGGTTTCTAGCTCTTCACAAAATACAAAATAAAACAGCACCTGGTATATCTGGAATTGGCTATATATTACTCAAGAAAATTACACTAGAATCAACAAAAAAATTAGTAAAATTTCTAAACATAGTTCTGAAAAGAGGAAAACTTCCAAATAAGTAAAAACTGGAGCAGCTATACTTAATTCCAAAAGGCAATTTTTGGGAATATAATCTGAGCAATACAAGAAACATACAAAAAAGTTTTAACTAGA